CTGCCTGCGTGCCTGCGTGCCTGCCTGCGTGCCTGCCTGCGTGCCTGCGTGCCTGCCTGCCTGCCTGCCTGCGTGCCTGCGTGCCTGCGTGCCTGCGTGCCTGCGTGCCTGTGTTTGTGTGTTTGGTGTGTTTGTGTTTGTGTGTGTGTGTGTATTTGTGTTTGTGTTTGTCTCTCTCCAAAGACAAACAGACACAGAGAGAGAGAGAGTTCTTGGGTGTTTCTTTGACAAAGAAAGTCCATCGGGGGAATCTGACTTTCAAATGGTATGCCTGGAAGTGAGGGGACTTGAGGTGTTGTTTGGTGTTTGTAGTGTTGCTTGCTGTAGAAAACTGTAACCCCTCCAGAGGTGTGCCATATAATTCAGGCGTCCAGAGTTGGTACTGTGTTCGAGCATCTGGGGAAACTACTCTGGCAATGGTTGGAATACACCCGATACTTGAACAAAACTTTTCACGCACCCCCGAAAGCCCCATAACGCATGGGGGGGGCCAGTAGGCCGGGGGTTTGACATGCCCTCTATGCCCTGGCCAAGAAGGGTTTTTCGTGTGCACGCACACCACACGAGCTGTCCATTGGACAGCCAAGACACTTTACAGAGACCTTCCATCTGTCAAAATGATGGACGGGGTCGCACCCTGGAGCGCGGGGTAGCAGGACTGCTGCTACCTCACGCCCTTAGCAAAGCAAAGCAGCGCGAGAGAGAGCCCGGAACCCTGGCGAAAGAAAGAGAGAGAGAGTCTGGAGGGCTTCCTCCCCGAAAGCCCGAGAAACAAGGGGGGCCCTATGGGCCGGGGAGCCTCGCACGCTCCCTTAACCTGAAGGAAGAAGAGTCTGGAGGCAGCGCTGTCTAGACTGTATTCTAGTGCCCCTACTTGTATAGTTTCACACTTGGTAGCGGTGCAGTCGACTCTCCACCGGGCTTTGACCAAGATGCGGTGAGTGGAAACCCGCGAACTCAGTATGCGCCTGATGCTGATCCCTAGACCAGCGGTCGCCCGCGATGGCCAATGGAGTGGCAGTCGGTAGCGGTAGACATGCATACTACGGCAATGGCAATGTGGACCGAGATTTCGCTTCAGCTCACGTAATCTCACGTAACACTTTTGCCTGAGGGAATTAGATGCTGCAGTTTTGCCGCGGTGGAAAGCCGCCGTGCACACCCCAATTAGCCTTGACCTGGTCTTGGGGCACGGGCGCGCTCCCAAACTCACATGCCTGAACCCACAGCCGCCACTGCGGACTGAGGGAGAGGGTTTTGCGCAGAGGGGCCCGCTGCCCGGGCACCCAACTCTACAAAGCACGTTTTGGCAAAACGACGGTTGTTCAAAGCAAAGTTTGGCTTGAAAAGCAAGCAAGATGCAGTCTTGGAAACTCGAGCAACGGGTGCAATGTGCTGGAAGCATTGGAAGCTCGGGCAATGCGGAACTCCAAAGCGCGTTCGTGCAGAGGGAGCCCAGAGCCAACTGCCTAGCGGGTGTTGTCATGAGTGACGAGCAGCCGGTGCTGGAAGCTTGTTGGCGGAAACACGGGCTCGAACAGGCAACCAATCTGGGCAGATCCTGGAAACCAACCACCACAGACGAGGTGGCTACGCCAATGGAGGGGGGGCGAAACGTGGCGCAGTTGCACAGTCCCGGGGCGGCTCTGCGCTGACGACAAGGAGTGCGGAGTCTTGCGGGCCTACGCAGCTCGAGAGACAGGGGAAGCACGCTCCAACAATGCTGGAGCCAACGCTCAAGAGACGGGCGGGCACAGCAGAGGGGGCGACAGGTCCACAGATCCGTCTCCACGAGGAGCTCGAACTAATCCGTGCGGCGGAAGCTGCCCAACAACTATACTTGCAGAGCAACGAGAGGAGCCTGAAAACTGGGAAGTGGAGAGGACACAGCACGGATACGGAGGGGGCACGACTCCGAGCTCAGGTGAACAGCCAGACTCTCTACCTGACACGCTGTACTGTAGAGACGATTAATGCCTGAAGGGGCGGACACATATGACTGGGGGTGCACCTTTGTGTGAGTCAGCTTGGTGCAGTATCCTGAAGATCATGTCGAGGTCCAAGACAGCAGAAACAAACGGGGGCAAAGACCCGGGGTAGTACCGTGAAGGCAACCAGTGGGGACCACAAAGTAGCAGAGTCAGAGTCGAGGTAGGTGCACTACTCAGGAGTCCAATGACCAAATCACCTTGTGGAAGTCTGTATTAGTTCCAGATGAGTGTTGTTGCACAGGACTCCGAGGCCCAGAGTAGCAAGAAGTCCCGAGATGCCAATCACGGGAAGGGGCACAAGTAGAAGAGTACCGGTGGAACCACACACCAAAGTCCGTGGCAACTTGCAGGTGCTTTGTGGAGGTCACTACTAGCTCCACCTTCTGTTCTCGGGGCATGGACTCTGCAGCTCGCGTAGGCTACCGCGAGCCCCACAAAGGCTTCCTCCCGAACAGAGCGTAGGGCAACCTCGCCGTGTTGGGTACTTGATGTGCTGGCAATGTTTCTCGTGTCTGTTCTGAGTGGAAAACGGGGAGGAAAGAACTCCGTAGCCTGAGAACGGGGAAAAGGGGGGAGAGTGACTGCTGGGCCCTCTTAGGACCCTTCAGTTTGCTCGAATTCCTAAAGTGTGCTGCTTCTTGTACTTCACTCTCCTCAGTTGGGCAGTAAGCCCAAACAATTACTGCTGCTCACTCCTCCAAAAAGGGGTGTGCACTAGCGGCTAGCGCAAGCAGGGGGGCAACCCTTTAGGCTTCTGGGCCAATGGGGTTGCGTGCAGCCCCCAGACCGCAAATGGCCTGAGGGCACCGCAGCGGCCACTATGCCCAACAGAAATAAAGAAAGAAGAGAAGCGGGAATGGCCACTCGACAGAGCCGTGGGTGCCTACCCCATCCACACGTGCAAAGAAACTTAAGGAGGAGCAGTTGCGTCTCATGCCTTGTGCCTCCAGGCCTATGGGCAGCTTCACCTTGCTGACAGTTCTTGGCAGTGGCAGCTGCAGGCTCGCGGGCTGCTGGGCTATGCAGTTTCGCTTGAGTCTTAAGCTGGTGAAGTTCGTTCGGACAGGCTCTCCTGCCATCATCGCCTGCCTTTGGCTGCATATCAGGTGCATGCAACAGGGAACAGTGGGGATCTAGGTTGGGAGCACATGACAGATTTTTTGAGGCCGGGTCCATCTTGGTCGTGTGGGACTTCACTCGGTTCGGCGATGACTCGCGGCAGTTCATTCTTCTGCCATGCCCCCAGCACAAGCAGACTGTTGCTGCTGCTGCTGCTGCTGCCGCTGCCAGGGTTGAGCATCACGCATTGATGCTGCCATCTTCGCTGTGTCATGCCAGGAACAGGAAACCGAAACTCTCCATGTAATCCCGATCATAGCGGCCTTTTAGCCATGGGTGTGCGCTGGTGGGCAGCCGGCCCACTTCTATGGCTGACCGCAAGCGACTTCAGATGTGCTGGTGCTTTCGACGAATGCTCCTTGGCCTGTTAAACTGCAGCAACAACAAGGGGCACTCTGGTCGGCCATCCCGATGCAACTCAAGCCTGCAGTAAGAGGTTGTCTGCCCTTTCTGCTGCCATGACTCGCAACACTTGTGGTTGCCAGGTGAAGTTCCCTCAGTTCCCTCGTCACTCTCGCTTGTCCAAACAGCATTGCAGCTCCAACGAAGACGGAACCTCGGCTAAATGTGGCCTACCGCTTGGGCTCGTGATTCGAAAGAATCGCTTTCTGGTGATCTGCCGTCGACACATCCTTCGGTTATCCTTTGCCTGCCAGCTGCCAGGTTTATGGACGAAGTTCCTCTCTCGGCTGAGGAAAGCAGGCTCGGCACTTGTTGTGATCACGAGTGGCGAAGAGGAATGATATTCAGGCCAATCTTCCCGTCGCAGGGCAAAGCTCGGCAAAGTTTCATTCGGAAGACAGTTGGAGCAGCTGTTGCTTTCGTTCATCCTGTCGCGTCACATGAAAATGGTGGCAGCCAACTCTTGTGATTTGCGCTGCTTCAGCTGAGAAATAGCCCATGTTGTGGGGGTCCACAAAGTGCAAGCTTGAAAAAGAGCAGGCTCTACGTGGAATGGGACTCAGGGATTAGGTTTGCTCGCAATGACTCGGCAGGCATTCGTCAGCTACTGCAGTTCTGCCGGAAGAGAAATGCAGATAGCCCGACTCTGCAACGACAAAGCAAGCACTTCGCATTGAGCCGTCATGCATCCAAGCGTCAGAACCAGAAACATCTGCAAAGAAACCGAGACTAATCACGTGCCTGGTCTGCTGGCTGTCAGGCGTGCGGGCGTCTGCACCGACACTGTACCGGTGCTGGGCTCCGCACGGGGTCTCCCGATCCTCGGGTACATCGGGTGCTGCCGCGCCCTTAACGCACGTTTAGCATCTAGAGAGGTCAAGAATGAGGCATTGCAGAGCAAGTTGAAAGTCCTCGCCCGACATGTGCAGACGCTCAGCGACTGAGGTTTGCAAAGGGACCTGGACAGTGCAAATGTTCGCCCAGCTGCTGCGAGGTGTGAGTTCGCCCATACGTAGAATCAGTGTAGAAGTGTAGCCAAGGCGTTTGATGACACACCAAATCCCGCACGGCAGAAGTCACAGGAGAACGCTATGAAACAGTCCAGCACGCATCAGTTGCGAATGAGCCACGCCCAAGCCTGCGCCGTGAACGAACAGCACGAGAAGGAGGGTGCTACAAAGTTGAGGGTCCTAGGGTTCAACATGAGGTAATGCATCTGTCTTAGCAGCTGTGTGGTCGCTGCGCTGCGTCGTCTGCTCTTCCCCCGATCGTGTTCCTGTCCAAACACAGGTGGTGTGCCGATACTGCCCCAAGTCAGGACCCATAGCGATCCAGATTTACTGCTCGACATTCTGGTATGCCTCAAGCTCGTCGTGAGAAGCAGCGCACGGCTACTAATAAAGAAACCGGCCAAGAAAACCAAGGAGACAAGCGTGGAACAGCCACTACGAGAGATCTTCAGGAGACGCGGGATCCCCCCAGCCACGACAACCACCGACAGGAAGCGCAAGGCCAAGAGCGAGGACCGACCAATAAGATTACAAACGCCAGCGACGCAAGATGCGCAGCAGACGTCGCGGCAATCAGGAGAGCCAAAGTGCCAACCGCCAACACCCCGCAAATTTTACAGCCGAGCGGAAGAGCGACATCGTGCAAGGAGGCCGCGGCACGGCGCAGACACCGCAACTGAAAGAGCACTCACAAAGGCTGAGGAGATGGAGTACATAATCAGATTTACAGCGTTGTAAGGATCGCCGCCATTTGCGGCAGGAGAGTTGAGCAGACGAGAGAGAAAAGAGTCACCGCTAAAGCCCTGCAAACACTACAGATTGTGAATGGCGCATTATGTAGCACGGTCTTCTGCTCTTGTTGCACAGGTCGCTTGCAAAACGGCCCGTGGAAGAGAGAACACACAGTAATTCAGAAACTTGCTAACGTGTCGAGGCGCAGTTTCTGCGTGTTGAATGTTAATTTAAAACACTGTTGAAAGAGAAATCGCCACACAGAACGAGAGAGCTCTCGGGACGCGAGGGCATGCTGCGAATGGTGGGACTACACTGCCTTTTTGAGATATCAGTCGTTTCTAGAGAGTGAGAGGGAGACGGCAGACCCTGTGGCAAGATACTTGGAAGCCGGCGGGCGCCACGTCATGACGGCGCCAAGTGCCTTGGGCATGTTGATGGACATCGACACTCCACTGGCTATCAAACATGGTTTTGGAATGCAGTCGTCATGCTTCGCGGGTTCGCACCTACTGAGTCTATGGCAATGATCAAGCTCTGGGACAAGCCATCCGAGATTCGGGCGTTCCAAGAGAGCAGATTTGGGCACTTTCCCCAGGCTGTTTGCAGACTGCTTCCAGATGATTGCAAAAATGCCTCGAGGTCACCACAGCTTTGGAACCCATCGGTGTTCCTAAGCAAAATATTCGGTCATGGGTCGCTGACCAAGTGGCTGGAAGCCTTCAGCGGCTGAACGTCACATATGCCGACGTCGCCTGACCCGCACCAATCCGACCGCTCTGCACAAAGCCAAAAGCCGCAATACAGTAGCGGCCGCAGTCAATACCCAGACTTTGGTTCAATGTGCTTTGATGGTGTGAGGTGCTGTTACGAACAACTGTTTTCCCTGCTGAGGACATTTACATCCACTGGGGTGTCACGAATGTCCGCCGACAGGATCCCAATGGGAGGAGCAATGTCACCCAGGAGATGAATCTAGAACTTTACCGTGGGCTCATTGATATGCAACGGGCTGGAAAGACCCGCCACATTGCAGTCTTTCTGCGGCATTCAGGCATGTTATGCAAAGCGACATTGAGAGGATGTTGAATCAAGAAAGCTCTTGTCTGCGGGTGTCTCTCACAGAGGTTGGTCTTCACACCCGGAAAGAAATCGAATATTTGATCAACTCCACAGGCAGAAGGGCAGCCTGAAGCGTCCATGTCAACATGTGAAGCGGGTGTTTTTGTCAGAGGTTGACCGAATTTTGCTAGTTCTTGCAGGCTTCAGTGCACAAGCATCGGCTTTTGTACCGAGTTGCGCGTTCACAACTCCCGAGAAGGTGTGAAGCCGGACATCATGTGGGGATGGATAACACCGTTTATGCCCCAGAAGCAGATCGACCTGGCGATGTGGGCCAAAGGCCAGGGAATGGCAGTGGCCGCATCTTGGACAGGTCAGAGGGGTCTTTGTTACAAGTAGTTGAGAATCTGCTTCTCAAACCTGAGTCTGAGGCTTGGGGGCCCTTCAACTGGATGAGGCTTGATGAGCCAACCCAGCTTGAAGAGCACAGGCCTGGCCTCCGCCTGCCATAGGGTGGTCGGGGCGCTGCATGTCCTGCTTAGGTCAATAACCGACGAGCTCGCCAGGAAGTACAACGCCAGTGTTTACCAGATGCTTGCCTACTTGACCATTGAAGGTCGTCAGCAAGGGATACCGTAGATTCAGCGCTTGTTCCCATGTTATTTACGCAACGGCGCCTGGAGCAGACAGGGTCAGCTGTAAGCGAACTCTCGTGTGTGGTGCAATTAGTCAGAGGACCCCTTGCCCAGTCTGGGTGTATGACACCGCTTACCCACCACCCCAAGATCCTATCTTAGACCCACCTACCAGTCCAACCCCTGGACCCACCTACTAGTCCAACCCCTAGACTCACCTACCACCACCTTAAGACGGATCTTAGGAAAAGCACCTTCTTCCCAATACCTGTATCTACCTAGGTGTCATAGCTCAAACTGGGCGAGGGGGTTCTTATTCAATTTAGGGGTCTAGGTCGGGCTTTAGATTCTATGAAGCAAGCGGCCTACGCGAACAGCCTCCTCTTCGGCGGGTTCCCGGCTCGCCTCGCTCCCGGCATGCTGTCAATGAGACCATGTGGACGGCTGATATCACATGATGACGCGATCGGCTTCGTTTCGACCAGTTGAAGGGAGCGATTTCTCAGCCATCTCAGACACACCCAGACAAAAGCGTGGGTTGGCTTATGAAACAGAGATAGGCAGTTTGCAAATAACACGTATTGAGGACGTAGGAAAACAAAAGGGGACCATTCATATTCCAGATAATGACGGATGGATAAGAGTTAAGTAATAGAGGATTATCAAGGTTGGACGCAACAACAAGAGGAGTTGATATTTACGGTGTGTTTACAACAACAGGTAACGCAGACATTAGCGGAAAAGTTACGTGTGTTGCTTTAACTGAAACATCAGATGGTAAATTGAAAGAGAACCTTAAATTCAAGAGATAAGCACGAAAGAATGCTATAAAGCAGTTAAATATATCAAGCCGAAAACATATAATTCTGTGAAAGATGAAAGCAAGAAAAAAATTGGTTATAGCAGACGAGATAAAAGGTGCTAAGATGCCCAAAGAATTGGACAACATAATATATTACAGTGATGAACGTCTGAATTTACTAGCATATACTGTTGTTTTGTGGGGGACTGTTCAGCATCTTTTTCGTGAGAAAGATAGTTATTAGAAATGGTAAAAACAATGAAAAAAGAAATGGCAACAATGAAAGGAGAAATAACCAATTTGGAAAAGTAGAATCTAAGTGGTAACATACATCAGATTCCCACTCTGAGTATACAGAATGTAAGAACCTAATCAAACAGTAAAGCCAAGACATCTCTGAAACCGATATCCTCTTAAGAGCGATGAAAGACGTTTTAAACAAATTACAGGCAGAGGAAGAACAGTAGAAGCATTGAAAAACAAGAAGAGATGTCCGTGCTTTGGCTATACCCACCTTCATTTGTGTAATCCTAGCTTGTTTTGATAGTTAATCATGTTTTGTCATTTTTCGTTATCACCATCGTCAATCGTAAATTACGTCTCACAACGTGTCAGAAACATTTTGTTAATATCAGGCTGAACTAAAATCACGAATACAAAAACTGAAAGCGTCTTCCCTTGCTACACTGTACATTTCCAATAATCATTGCTTTGCTTGGTGAAGACTTCGTGTATCAGACATAGCCTGCTTACTAATTCAAGCACCTGCTAATTCGTCAGAAAACACTTTCCATTTCCATATAATTTTGCATTTTAAAAGAGATTGACTGCCTTGAGTTGGTTCTAATCGTTGTGCTTAGCCCGTCGTACTTCTGACTGATCGAAATTATTGATGCACTGACATGTCGCGCTTTAATATACGATGCGTTAAGCAAGATATTATGGTTCGCAAACGATGCTTGGTCAATGAAGTCGTCTATCAGAAAAGCACCGAATACAACTTGTTGTGCTGGTTCCTCTTTTGGAACTGGTTAACTCTGTGTTGTAAATCGAAAACATTTTGCATTTCATCAATGTTACATGTATCAAAATAGACCATTTCCTTCTGTGGATACCCCAAGAACATTTTCTATCTATATCTCTTGACTGGTTCCCAAACTGGATCTAAACCCACGAAACGTGACCAAATATGGATGCGACAACAACAGTTTCTATAAATATCAAGAATTAGATTAAAGAGAAGCACCGTTTTACCAGAACCTGACTGACCAGGTGTAACCATTGAAAACGGTATGCGAGGTGCTACATCGTATTTACTTTGAGCACAGGTGCATTCTTTTGTTCTGTATGGTTTATTCATAGGAATTCCACTCGAGATCATTATTTAAGCAGAGTAGTTGTACATCATTTAGTATAATGGACATGTATTTAGAAGCAATAGATGGGTTTGAAGAAGCAGAGAAAACTATCATACCAAGCTCAAAAAGTGTTGCACCGCTTCTTTAGAAGTGCTTAAGGCAGTTCTTGACTCGTAAAAAATCTAAGAAAGGTTAATGAG